TCTTTCTGCCTATACTCATAGCTTCCAGAGATTAGAACATGGACAAATTAGGGTAGCCACTATTCACCCGACAACAGGAGTAAACTGTCATTGCTTCAATCTCTTATCTGTAACATGAGGATTACAGTAGTTCCAACCTCACAGGGTTGTTATGAGAATTAAATATAATTGTGCACATTGTTAACACTAGTATAAGAATGTTTTACTTGTTCAGAAGCTTTCAACACATTAATGGGGAAAGTAGATCTGATTCTTGGTCTTAGTGGAAATATACTTTAAGTAATCATAAAAATAAATGTATGCTTGAAATCTGTAATAAGTGCTGCTAAGGAACAGTAAAGGATACATTGGCAAGGAGACCAGATCTAGTCTAGAAGGATCAGGGAAGACCTCTAAGTGAGTAGCTTTTAGTTACATCTTAGGAATAAATACAAGTTACCTAGCTGACATAAAAAATAAAAAAAACTTTCCAGAAAGAAGAAAAGTATGTGCAAAGACCCAAGTCAGGAATGAACGTGGTACATTCAAGAAATTGGAAGACAAAGTCACGGAGGAAAAGTGGCAAATTAGCATGCTATGGAAATAGTCAGTGACCAGAATAGGTCATGCTCAAAAGGTTATGTGAAGATTTGGGACCTTATCCTAAAAGTAATAGCAAGAGGGATCTGATCAGACGGCTCATTAGAAAATATTGCTCTGGATGCCATGTAGAGAGAGCATGGTCTTTGTCCAGGTGAGAGAAGATGAGGTGTCACAGACGGGGCTCCCCAGGATGAAAATTCTGAGGTGGAGATCCCCAGGCAGCTGCTTTATTATGGAGGGCTCTTGAGTTCAATGCCTCAGATGGGTAAGAAACAGAATCGGGCAGAGAAAGGTCTCAGCTGACCCTCAAGGGATGCTCTGAAGGGCAGATGACCCCTCCAAGTGGAGGAACCGATGCAGGCTTTTGTGTCCTCATGCCCATCAGTCACTAGCTAGAGCTGCAGCAAGAAGGCAGGTGACCGTGTTCAGTGGTGGCAGTCTCTGATGGGGGCTGACAGCTGGACATCTGGAGAAATCTTACAGGGAGTTGTTGGCTGTGCATCCTGGCAACTACCGGGAGTTGCCCAGACAGTGGCAGTGAAAATGGAAAGTGGGTAGATCTGAGAAATATTTTGTGAACAGAACTGACAGAACTCGGTGCTAGCTATATATGGGCAGATATGATCTACATAAGGACAAGAAGAAAAGGAGATATCAAAGATTATAGCTGGGTTTCTGACCTCTATAACTGAACAGATATTAGTATCATATTTGTATACATATGTATTGATTGGTTAAATAAGTGAGTCTCTACTTCAGAGAAAAGGAGTAGGCTAGGATTTAAAATGTGGGAGCAATCAATAAATAGGAGATAAGAAGCATAACAATCACCTCAAGAAAGAGCAGAACAAGAAAAGGTTGGCAAAGCCTTGAGTAAGACAACAATTAAGATAGGTTATATGTATTAACCCCTTATCAGATGAAGCATGGGCAAATATGTTGCCCCATTCAGTGGGTTGTCTTTCTATTTTATTGATGGTTTCCTTTGCTGTGCAAGAACTTTTTAGTTTGATGTAGTCCTTTTTGTTTATTTTTTTTGTTTCCCTTGCCTGAGAAGATATATCAGATTAAATATTGCTATGAGCAATGTCTGAGATTTTACTGCTTATGTTTTCTTCTAGGATTTTTATGGTTTCATGTCTAACATTTAAGTCTGTAATCCATTTTGAATATATTCTGTGTGTCGTGTAAGAACGTAGTCTAGTTTCATATTTCTGCACGTATCTGTCCAATTTTCTAATACCATTTTTTAAATAAACTATCTTTAGCCTATTGTATGTGCTTGCTTCCTCTGTCAAATATTAATTGACTATAGAAATGTGTGTTTATTTCTGGGCTGTTTATTCTGTTCCATTGATCTATGTGTCTGTTTCTAAGCCAACACTGTGCTGTTTTGATTACTATAAAGAACTTATAAAACTCAACACCAACCCCCCCAAATAATCCAATTAAAAAAGAGCAAAGAATATGAATAGAAGCTTCTCCAAAGGGGATATAGAGATGGCCAATAGACATATGAAAAGATGCTCAACATCACTAATCATCAGAGAAATGCAAATTAAAACAACACTGAGATATTACCTCACATCTGTCAGAATAGCTATCATCAATAAATCAACAAAAAGCAAATGATGGCCAGGATGTGGAGAAAGGGGAGCCCTTTTGCACTGTTGCTGGGAGTGCAGACAGGTATAGCCACTGTGGAAAGCGGTATGGAGATACCTCAAAAAAACTAAGAATAGAACTACTTTATGACCCAGTGATTCCACTTCTTGGAATTTATCCAAAGAAAGCTGAAACACTAATTCGAAAGAACACAAGCACCCCTATGTTCATTGCAGCGTTATTTACAATAGCCAAAATTTGGAAGCTTCCCAAGTGTCTATCAGCAGATGAGTGGATAAAACAACTATGGGACATTTACACAATGGAATACTACTCAGCCATAAATAAGAAGAATTTTTTACCCTTCGTGACAGCGTGAATGGACCTGGAGAGCATTATGCTAAGTGAAATATGTCAATCAGAGAAAGACAAATACCATCTGATTTCACTCATATGTGGAATCTAATGAACAAACTGAACTAACAAATGAAACAGAAACAGCCGCATAGACAGAGAGCAGGCTGACAGTTCCGGGGGGTGAGCGTTTGGGGGTGGAGGGACTGAGCAAAAAGGAAAAAGGACTCATGGACGTGGACAGCAGTGTGGTGATTGTGGAGGGTGGGGGAGGGGGGTATATGTGGGCTAAATGATAATAAAGAAAATAAATTTTTAAAGAAAGATGGGTTACATAAATTTCTTGGTACTCAATAAAAACTCAGTAAAAATTCTGTTGCCGTAAAGCTACTTTTTACATTTAGTGAGGGAGGTGGCTGCCACAGGTGTGGTACCTGTGCCAGTAAAGCCGTAGTCACAGGCAGCAGGGCAGCGGGTTCTGCCATGGAAACACCGGAACCAGCACCAGCTGCCGTGCTTGTGAGATGAACATCAGCTCACTAGGAATGTCTTCTAAGGAAGCATCCTCCAGGAAGAGGTCATCCTGGACTCCTGTCTGTGTTCCACTCCTTACACCGGAGCCTTCAGCGACCCTTTTGACTTTACCTTCATTATATGCCCAGAATCAGATCACTTCTTACCACCTGCACAACAGCCTCCCTGGCTGAGGCCTTCACCATCTCCTGCCTGGATCATTTTGGAATGTTCTGAGTAGGCTTTTTGCTCCCGAAGTCCATGTCGTCTCCTTGAAAATCTATTCTCTACAAAGAAATGCCAGTTATTTTTTAAAATTATAAGTAAAATCATGTCATTGCTCTGCTTCAGTGTCTCTTACAGAGTAAATGCTAAATCCATGAAAAAGCCTACGAGTTTATACTCAGTCTGCATCTGCCCTCTTCCCACTGCCTTCGTTCCCGACCTCCTCTCCTCCCACTCTTCTCTGGCCCCTCTGTTCTGACCACGCTGGTCTCCTTGCTGTTCTTCACTCATTCCCCAGTGCTCTTGCCTTCAGGCCTCTGCACCTGATGTTCCCCCTACCTACCACACCTTGCCTCCAGATGCCTGCACAGGCTACTCCTTCCCTCCTTCGAATCTTTGCACCCTATCACATTACGAGAAGCTGCCCCTGAATATCCTATGCAAATTTCAACCCCTTTTTCCCTCTTCCATACAACCCTGCTTCATTTATTACTTCTTGACATCATCTGTATTATAAATGTACATCTCTCTATTATTTATTTCTGTAGACTGTAAACTCCATTAAGGTAAGGTAGGGTTTTGGTTTCTTTCATTTGGTGTAACGTGGTTTACTGTTATATTTCCAAGGCCTAGAAAAGTTGAGGTAAAAGTAGACCTTTAATAGATATTGATAAATAAATGAGTGAGTGCATGAATGAATGAATGAATATATGAGAAAAGTATCTAACTCAATTCTAGTGTGGTGCCTTCCACACACCCTCTCCCTTTGTGTATTTTCTAGATCTGATTCAACTGGCTGAGAGGCAAATGAAGATCAGCCAGCTTCTTGGAGTATTAGAAAGTGGACCAGGCAGAAGGTTCAGGAAGAGAAGCTTCTGGGGTCCCGGCTGAAGCAGTTGGTTGAATGTAAGTGCTCCATACATCTGTGGGGGCACTGGCTAGCCTGAAGGTGAAAAGAACAAATTTAAATTCTTCCAAAGAAGGTGTTGTTTTATGTCTGGGTGATGCCAATAATAAATATTAAAAGGAAAAAGTCAAATCATTCCTTTTGAGTACTGTGTGCTTAAAGTACCTGAATACCTTAATTTTTTTATTTTTTAAAGTAAGTATATTTATTGTTAATATATACACAAGCCCAAGGTATCTTGTCTATTGTTATTATCATTAAATTACACTTTCACTCAGTGGTTATAGATTAGCATTTGTACATGGTCCCTGCAGGTCACAGTGTCAGGATGCATGTCACGTCAGCGTTTTGTAGGTAAACCTCCATCCTACTACAATCAGACGTAGAAGGTCCTTGACTGAGCTCTCTCAACAGCTCAGGAGTTGCCATGGGTAGCAACATCCAAAGGGCACAAATGTTTGGAGTACACTTCAACAACTTCTGTGTTAGCAGAAATTTCATTGCAGTTGTTTGGAAAGATGGTGAGAGTTTCAGCCACCCCATGTATGTGTTTGCACTTTCCTGGTGTCAGCTACTTTTTAAAGAAGGGCCCAAGTCCCTAGAATCCTGTTGCCACAGATGAGGCAAAAAGAAATCACCACCTTCTTTCCCCATCACTGAACACAGCTTTTGGTAACATTTCGCCCAAGAACAGGATATTGGCAACTCAACTGTTAAACTTGTCTGTGATTATTCTTCCTTGAGATCACTCTGATGTCACCAGTGTAATTTGAGCCCGGAGCTTTTGTTCAAGCTTTAAATAGCAGCCCCGGAATGATTTTGCTACAGACTCTCTGGAGAGCCTGGGAGCTGAATTCCCGAAGAGCCCACATCTATGAAAGCAAAGCCAAGCCATCAAGCCACCACCATGTCCACCTCGCTGCGGGTCAGCCCGTCCATCCACGGCTACCACTTCGACACAGCCTCGCGTAAGAAAGCCGTGGGCAACATCTTTGAAAACATCGACCAGGAATCCCTGCAGAGGCTCTTCAGAAACTCTGGGGACAAGAAAGCCGAGGAGAGAGCCAAGATCATTCTTGCCATAGATCAAGATTTGGAGGAGAAAACACGAGCCCTGATGGCCCTGAAGAAGAGGACGAAAGACAAGCTTCTCCAGTTTCTGAAGCTGCGGAAATATTCCATCAAAGTTCACTGAGGACAGGAGAACGGATAAGGACGTTATCCGAGGATGGACACTTAAAGACCACGTGAGTTTGTGAGACCCTGACAGGCAGCACCGTGCTGCTCCTTGCAGGCTTCTCCCCTGCCAGGACTTGGGAGGCTGGAAAGGAACAGAGCAAACTGGTGACAAAGAGTCCGACCAATTTCAAGCCTGTGCTGTCACAGTGGAGAACTAAATGCTTTCAGCGAGGATTTGAAAATCCTCCCGGCGGCAAAGGACTGATGCTGGTATCAGGAGAAGTGTCTGGACAGACGTAATGAGAACTGAAGCCGAGGAACACAGATGGCTAAGGACGAATTGCAGCCAGGGTCTCTATGCCAGGCCCTAGGACTGAAGTTCAACCTGAACTTTTTTTTCCCTTAACCAAACTGGGAAGGCGGGGAAGAGGGCGGAGGAGGGAGGGGGGAACAGGGAGAGAGAATACCATGCTTTATCGTTTACTGAATTTTTAATTTTCAAGATGTTTCCAAGTTTCAATGTTGTCTATTGGTATAGATTTTTAAAGATCAGTAACTGATTTTTTATTTGCATTTATTACAGTGCCTGAACTGTGTGCCACATGGGTGAGAGCACAAAGTCACGGAGCTGCCTTACCTTCAGCAGCTCAGTGACATCTGCGCCACCTCCTGGTGTGCGCTGCGGTTTTTATGCATTTCAGATTGGTTGCACAAAAGTAAGAATAATGGGTCCTTCAGAAACCCAAAGTACTGTGAAAGAATTTATATATTTTTAATCTTCTAACTGATGTCAAAGTATAATCTAATTAAATTTCTTACCGCTACTGCAGTGAGCACTAGGAAGTGAATATAATATACTAAATACTTTATAAAGATGCTATGGTTTCTATAATTTATTATACATGACAAATGATATGCAACCATAATAAATTATTATAAACTTGACTGCTCTTGGTCTGTGATGATTAGAATCAAAGGAAAAGTAAGGTGGTAAATTATTAATATAAACTTCCATGAACTATTATAAACTTTCCTAAGGATTTTATTCTAAGAGTAAAAGGTGCTTTCAAACTAGCTTTACATTAATTGCCAAACTTTTTCAAACCAAATTCTTACATCAAATATTTAGAATGTTTCCTACCAACTTTAAAATATAAGGTATAGACACAAAAATTTATTGATTTTCAACATTGTTGTTTATGTATCCATTGAGGGTGAGTTTTAAGGGACTTTTCTCTCCATATTTTTCAAATTTTTCCTCTGTGGCTACAATAACTCTATACATTTGCACATTTATTTTCTCCCCAAACAATATATTTTGGGGTTAGAGTCTGAATTATGATTAAACCTCTGTGGGTTAGCAATGTTTATTTAATACAAACCAGTGTGGAAATAGCATTACAATCTTTGCTTATTTCCTCATAAAATTACAATAAAACAGTTGTAAGAAGGCATACATCAATGCCTACTGCACTTTCCTATCAGATAAAAATAAAAATTTTCTGGAAATGATGTGTTTCAGAAACATCTACAGAGGTTTTTGAAACTGCTGATCACAGTAAGACAAAACAAGGGAATGATCTAAAATCTTTTGGGAGTGTTGCAAGGCAGGATTTTAAATAATATGTTTTAAAAAATGAAATTGGTCAAATCTACTTTCAAAAGTTAGTTGATTTGTTCACTAAAGATAATATAAAAATCACTCCATTAAAAAGGAATGCTTTACATGAGAGCATCTGTGACAGCACAAATATGCAGAAGTGTGTGTGTGTGTGTGTGTGTGCGCGCATTTTTCTAGGAGCAGTATTTCTAATTTCCATCAGATTACAAAAACAACCACATTATCAAAATCAGTGAAGAACAAAGGAGGAAGGGCTTTGACAGGTGGGAGGCTCAGCTGGCGATGGTGCTTTGGGACTGCCGAAGTGAGGCCGTATAGAGGTCCCCTGCCCCATGACCCCGTGCCCCATTCTTGCCAACAGAGCTTGCTTAATGATCTCCCCGAAAGTCTTTGTCTCAGGTGCCCGTAATAAACTTCCTGCCTCTGACAGGGCCCTTCAGTGACACATTTGGAATCCCCAAAAGACATTGACAAGCCACTTGGGAAGGAAACCCAGCAACTTTGTCCTCCAGAATACCTATTATGCTCCATGCTGCCAATGAAAATAGTGAACTTATTTTCTTTTCAAAGACTTCAAACACATCTTGGGTGCTGAACATAGTTCAAAGGTTGAATTTATTTTACATGCTCATGTCTAGGTACTGTGCCTCAGGTATTTTCAACAGAGCACAATATAAATCTTCACTTCTCACATTAACGTGCTAACTTAGTTTTATGTCAGTCTACTGTCATTATTTTCTGATTGCAAGGTCACTTCATGGAAAACGAGTTGAAAGGCCATTGGGTTATGATTTACAATAGTTTGGGGGACAATAACTCTTCCAGGACATTTTTAGACAAACGGCTGCTTTTTGCCTTCCTGCTGAACACAAGTGGGAATCAATGTGATTGTCCAAGGATGGTTTTTAACCGCATAAAACTTCCGTTACTTAATGTGAGGGAAAAGGAAGCATCACTACAACAGGTAGGATTTGTTCAGTTCAGAAAGTCTTCTGTGGCACAGGGATAGCCAATGATATCTCGAGATATCTCCTTGGAATAGGAGAAATAAAAGCAGCAAAGGTGAAATAGCTCATGAATAATATTTGTATCATTAAGGTGATAATAACAACTTTTATTGAGTTTTGCTGCTTACCAAACGATTTTCTAAGCTGTTTTCATGCATTAGATCACTTAATTAGCACCGTGGCACACAGGCAGGTGTATGTCCACATGTGCGTGTCCACATGTGTGTATGTAAGTGGTGTAACAAAACTGATGTAACGCGCCCAACGACACACAGCTGATGAGGCCAGGACTCCAAATCCAGGAAACCTTGCTCCAAAGCCTTGATTCCAAGCCACTAGATCAGGCTGCTTCTCTAAAAGAAACTAAGCGTCTCTTTTTCCCTTTAAAATGACAATTACTTATACACTAGTCAGTCAGAAAGACAGGAAGTCATGGCTTTTGAGAAAATCAATTTGATCTGATCTCTGCCTACGTATTTGTCACTTGTGTTACAGGGAGGAGAGCTAAGTTTAGTCATTTTAATTGTATCAACTTTTCTTCGATGTAACCTTTCAAGTCGGCAGTTGTCAGTTAACGCTTTGGTCTCAGTTTGCTCACCGGGGAGATCAGCCACTGCAGATCCGTTACTTCATTTCACCCAGTGCTCAGCACTTCCCCCAGCTGGCATGCCTGGTCCACAGAAACAGAGGGCTCGTATCTGCAGCAGCCTCCGGGAGATGGGAAATACTGAGAAAGGGGCCCAGGACACATACCCGCCGGATATTTTTTTCCCACCGTCACAGGGTAGTCAGAGACTGTGATGTTCCCTTGGCAAGCGTAATCAATAAACAAATGATTAAGCCATGGTCTCGGAATTTCATGGCCTTTCAGGGTTCCCCATCTTCCCTTCCAAATGTCACATAAGGGTTTCCCAGAAGGGCAAATAACTTAGTTGACTCCCTTTCTCACACCCAGGGAGTAGAACAGGGTTTGTACCTTACCCATTCATATAACAAAAATATAGCAAGCACCCATACATGAGGGCCACGTTGGTCAGAATGGATCTCTAGACTTTTTGTCAGAGGAGCCAAAAAGCCAGAAACTAATTTAAAATTAATGTCTCACACACACACACACTAAATATTTACAGTCCTTCAGAGAGCATGACTGTTCATTTTCCTGAGCCTTTGTTTCCTCAGCTGGAGACAGCAGAATTCTGATAAGCAAAAACCACCAGACTGGTTCTGGGGGTTTTTCCAACTCTGCCTTCAGCAAATTCCTTTTTAACTTCTGGATTTTTATCTGTAAGGGAAAAAACAGATCACACTGGACGGTGTCTGTGAGCTCCTTTGGAACTCACATTCTGCATGGAGGGGGACTAATAACTGAGCCACCTGCAGGACAGGCCTCCTCCCCAGGGTCTGTCGGCAGTCCATATGTGACACGGATTTCTCTTGAATGGAATGAAAGCATCATTTAACGTTTTGATTGCTAATGCTTGCTGAAGGCAGCATGTGAGGGAAATGACTTTCTGTGGATCCATCTATGTTTTTTAATATCCTGCCTCTATTTTGGTGGGTGTCCGTGGTAAGGCCGGCTGTTAGTATGACTGTCTCTTCCACATCCAAGCAGCGCCAGGCGCTGAGCAAGTCTCCACTGTGGGCGGAAACCATAATCACCGGTGGCAGTTTTAGAAGTATAGATTCCTTTCTCTGTCTGACTTATTTCACTTAGTTTAATACCTTCTAGGTCCATCCATGGTGTCACAAATGGTAAGATTTCATTCTTTTTTTATGGCCACATATATATGTGCCACCTCTTCTTTACCCGGTCACCTTTGTGTTGGAACAATTCATCTATTTACATTTAAAGTAATTATTGATAGGTTTGTAGTGATAGCCATTTTATTAATTGTTCTGATTGTTTTTATAGTTCTTTCCTGTTCCTTTTTCATTCTTTCACTCTTGTATGTTGTAGGTTGATGACTTTCTATGCTGTTGTGTTTGGATTTCTATCTTTTTCTTTCTTGCATATCTTTTGTAGACTTTTGGTTTGTGGTTACCATGTGCTTCGTATACAACATGGTTTTACTTATACGTGCAATCTAAAAGACAAAGTAAATGAGCAAACAAGACAGAAACAAACTCATAGATACAGAGAACAAGCTGATGGCCACCAGATGGGGAGGGGGTTATGAGGTTGGGTGTGAAAGATGAAGGGGTGAAGAAGTGCAGCTTGGTAGGTACGGAATAGTCACGGGGATGTAAAGTACAGCTTTAGGAATGCAGTCAATAAAACTGTAGGAACTTTGGATGGTGTCAGGGTGGTGTGAGGCTTAGGGGGCATCACTCCAAAACTTGTATAAATGTCTAACCACTATGGGGTATACCTGAAACTAATACAGTATCAAATGTCAACTGTAATTTAAAAATGAAAGCATTTTAAATACATAATAATGATTTTTTAAAATAATAAAAATATATAGGTTCCTGGCCCCAAACTCTCTAGGCATTGGGCCCCGTAATGGGCATTTCTACAAAGATCCACAGTTAACTGGGAAGAGTGCTGGATGTTGGGAACAATTTCTTATGTTACAATTGCACTTTCTGTTGATTTCATGGCATTAGCTAGAGTTTTTCTTCCATATTAATTCTTTCATTAACTGAAAATCATACCCCAACAAGGACATATTTTGAAGATGGCATCATTTTTCTTGATTTTAATAATTGCAGTGTGTGCAGATTAATTACTTTTCACAGTATTTTTTTCTCCTTCAATATCAGTCTGATATTTGTCTACCTTGATACATATGTTTTACCAAGAGAAAAGCTTCTGCCTCCTAACCACTACCTTCTCTTCCACCCTCCTGTAAGTGGTCCATGTTTAGTGTGTATGACCAGGTTTCATTACCTGAGGTCAAGAGGTTGTGGTGTCTCAGTGCTGTTCAGAAAGGCATCTTCCCCACTAACATTGTGTAACACATCTGGCCGTGCAGTTGTGTCCACATCTACTCTTACCAGAATCTCCTGAGGGCACTTTAGAATCCAGGCCCTTGGACTTGATGACTCAGAATTTCTGGGGCTGGTCACCTGCCCCAGAGTGTCCTTAAGCCACTCTTCAGGTGATATGGCTGTAACGTCAGATTGAGAACCACTGACCCAGACTAACGTCACAAACTGCAATCAGAGTGAGAATATGGCTCATTTTAACTCACCCCGAGTCTCCCCAGGCATCTCGCAGGTCTCAGTACATTTTTGGCTACACGCAATGTTGACCCAGGATGTGACTGGTACCTTGTCCTGGAATATGTTATTCCTGTTCTCTCTCATCCAAATAA